GCAACTAGACTCCAGCTAATCAATTATGTTCTCATTGGTACCCTTCATTATTGGACTGGGATTTTCATTCTTCCTAAGATGACAATCAAATCTATCAATAGCATTTTGGGTGCTTTCTTGTGGTCTGGGGTTGAGTTAAATCATCACAAGGCCAAGATTGGATGGCAGAGTTTATGTCGCCCTAAGGAGGAAGGTGGATTGGATATCCCTAATATTGAGCTCTGGAACAAGGCTTCCATTCTAAAGTTAATTTGGAGATTGTTCACTCAAAGACATTCTAATTAATGGGTGGACTGGATCTATTGCTATCTATTCAAGGACAAGAGCTTTTGGATAGTGAACTTTCCACAACAAGCCTCTTGGACATGGAGGAAGTTACTGCAACTTCGTTCCCTGGCTAGACCATTTATCAAGCATCATGCGTGCAATGGGAGACCGACCTTTTTCTGGCATTATCAATGGATGCCTCTTTCTCCTCTTGCAGGGAGAGTCACTCCAACAGCAATGCAAGTGTTTACTGCAGGACAACATGCAACATGCAGTGCATTCATCACAAAGAACCAATGGACATTTTCTTCGTCCTTGCTTCGACTCATTCCGCAGTTGAGCAATTCAGCTGCATTACCTTACATTTCCAGCTTAAGAGAGGATTATGTTACTTGGAACTGTTGGAAATTTTGTCTAAAATTCCTATTCTAATTAGGTTTTTATTTTAGAGTTGTATTTTGTAAGGAAATTTCTTGTTAAGCAAGTAATTCGTGTCCAACAAGGAATTGAATTTGTAACTCTATAAATAGGCACCTGGGTCATGGGTTGAGAATTGTGAGATTGAGAGAGATATAGTCTCATTAGGGAATCGATGGGTAGAGATAGTATGCAGGTTGGTAAAGTATGAAAAACACCGGTGACGCTAATAGCAAGGAAATAGGCATGGACTGGTGGTGTTGGTACCCTATCATTCTAATATCTCTACAAATCATAGTGGAATCTATTCTCATCTATGGACGTAGGCTGGTTTTGGCTAAACCATATATATCTTGTGTTTGTGTTTGATTGCTTTGTTGGATTTTATTGGATCTTTGTTATTCGTGTCCTTCCACTGCCCTAACAAATTGGTATTAGAGCCAAAGGTGAAAGAGATCCAGAAAATACAAGAAGTCTCAACATATGCTACAACGGGCTTCAGTTGTAGATGGAGTCAATTGGCTTAGTTACATGGCATGGAGCTCGAGTAGTCAAGGTAGAGCCTTAGAGGTTTGACTGATTGAGTAACGTATAATGTGGACAATCGGAGTTTTGCATGAGTATCGCCAAGATTGAAGCTGCAAAAGAATTGTCCTAATCAATGCCATGGGAAGCAATGATTAGCTGGATGGAATTTGAGCTAAGGAGGAGATTGTTGGAAATTGTGTCTAAAATTCATATTCTAATTAGGTTTCTATTTTAGAGTTGTATTATGTAAAGAAATTTCTTATTAAGCAAGTAATCCTTGTCCAACAAAGAATTGAGTTTGTAACTCTACAAATAGGCACCTAGGTTATGGGTTGAGAATTATGAAATTGAGAGAGATATAGTCTCATGAGGGAGTTGATGAGTAGAGGTAGTATGCAGGTTAGTAGAGTGTGAAAAACACCGGTGATGCTTGTAGCGAGGAAATAGGCTCGTGGAGTGGTGGTGTTGGTACTCTATTGTTCTAATATCTCTACGAATCATAGTGGAATCTCTTCTCATCTATGCATGTAGGCTGGTTTTGGCTGAACCATGTATATCTTGTGTGTATGTGTGATTACTTTGTTGGCTTTCATTGGATCTTTGTTATTCGCATGCTTCCGCTGCCCAACACATTGGTATCAGAGCCAAAGGTGAAGGAGATCTAGAAAACACAAAAAGTCTCAACATATGCTACAACGGGCTTCAATTGTAGATGGAGTCAATCAGCTTGGTTACATGAGTAGTCAAGGTGGAGCCTTAGAGGTTTGACTGATCGAGCAACGTATAATGTGGACAATCGGAGTTTTGCATGAGTATTGCCAAAACTAAAGCTGTAAAAGAATTGTCCTGATCAATGCAATGGGAAGTGATGATTGGTTTGATAGAATTTGAGCCAAGGTGGAGATTGTTGAAAATTGTGTCTAAAATTCCTATTCTAATTAGGTTTTTATTTTAGAGTTGTATTCTGTAAGGAATTTCTTGTGAAGCAAGTAATCCTTGTCCAAGAAGGAATTGAGTTTGTAACTCTATAAATAGGCACCTAAGCTATGGGTTGAGAATTGAGATTGAAAGAGATATAGTCGCATGAGGGAGTTGATAGGTAGAGGTAGTATGCGGGTTCGTAGAGTATGAAAAACACCGATGACACTGATAGCGAAGAAATATGATCGTGGAACGGTGATGTTGGTACTCTATTGTTGTAATATATCTACGAATCATTGTGGAATCTTTTCTCATCTACGGATGTAGGCCGGTTTTAGCTGAACCATGCATATCTTGTGTTTGTGTGTGATTGCTTTATTGGCTTTCATTGAATCTTTGTTATTCGCGTGCTTCCGCAGCCCCAACAGGAACCATTCTCCAAATAGCATGTTTTCTTTGGCACATACTCTCCGGGCAATCTCTCCTCCCAATGCTCCAGTTGTGTGGTCTTAGTTAGCTTGGTTCAGGCCTGTATTCCCTGTCATAATTTTATCCGTTAGCTTACAGTTTAGGAAAAGCTTCAGGTACAAGGTTCCTTATCTATGTTGTATTACCATTGGCCAAATTATTACTCATTTTGTTTAGCCTCAAAGGAAACCGATTCAAACCAATTCACACACTTAAGAGTATAAGAATAACAAAACCACAATAACACGAGGTTTATAAGGAAAACCCTCTCAATAGAGAAAAACCTTGATTCGTGGCCTCAGCCAATAAAAGCTCCACTAGCTGTATACAAGTAGTTACACAGTTAGCTATCTCACACTCTGCACACACCCTTGTATAAGTTAAGACACTAGTTTTCACAGCCTCTACACACACACTAGCTCAACACAGTGCACACATGCACTCCCCCTGTCCTAAGCACCCTTGCTTGGACTTGATGAGCTCTCACAACTCTCTCAACATAAGAATGAAGGTGTCAACACACCAAGTACAATTTACTTAAGTTGTCACACAAGATTAGAATGAATACACAGCCTTAAGTACACAACATAAGAAACCCTAGCTTACAAATCTGTGCAACAAATAGGATACAATTGTCAAATCACAATGCAACTTCAATGGTAGCTCAAACTAGGTTTCCACAACCTTGTTATAACCTTATACACTTGCTTAAATGAAGTACACAATTAGATAAGTAAGGTAGAACAGGATTAGCACTCAATAGGCTTACACCCAAAATCTAAGGGCAATATAGTCACTTCACAATGCAGCTTCAGAACTGACCTGCAATTGTCTTTCACAGCCTTGTATTACTAAGATACACTTGCACAGATGCCAAACTCAATAATCTCAGCAAGATAAAACAGCTTTAGAACAAAACAAGCTTAACTACACATCAAACCCTAGCATTCAAAGGTTTGTGAAACCTTTCTTCAATACAGCTTCAAACAGTCCCCAAACAGAACCCTCAGCTTTTTCTCATCAACATACACTTGATCAATAGGATTCTTCAGCTTAGTATGCAATAGGGAACAATACAATACAGTTCAACTATCAACAAAACATACAAAACAGCTTGACAACTTTTTGTGTTAACCTTCACACCGTTAGTTGACAGTTACTGCCATAAAAAATTATATTAATGTTGCGATTGTCATTAGTGTAATGAAATTACAAAGTTACCCCTCTAATCATTAATCTTGCGATTGTCACTAGTGTAAAGAGTGGGTTCTCTCTTACTCCCAAAATAAAGGCTTTGGAAGTAAGAATACATTTGAAGTTGAGTGGAGAAAGTAGAGAAGAAAAAGAATGGATGAGTCAGTGAGTGAGAAGAGAGGAGACTGGGCGAGAGTAGAGAGATGCAAAATAAATGTATGGGCATCCTCTACAATTGTATATGTCTTGATTCATTATAGTGAAATTTCTTCTCTCCGTAGTAGTAGGTCCAGCTCGATTGGCCAAACCGCATAAAATATTGTGGGTTGCATGTTGTTTGTTTTTGTTCTAGTTGGTATTAATTCTCAACATAACATTGTGTAACATTCACAACATTGGAGTCATTCAATGTTTTATTTTCACCCTCATCTCCTCTCTTCCAAAGGAAAGTATTATCTTGAGCTTGGCTTGGCAGTAAAAAGAACACGGATTTGGAAGTGGAGAAGAATTGTGATGAAGTAATCTGGGGGCGGAGCCAGGATTATTCCTTTGGGGGTGCCAAACTAGTAATATAAATCAAAAAATAATAATAAAAAAAAATGTTGTAATGATTTTTTTCCCAATACATTTTTAATGTTTATTAAGAATAGTTGATAGACTATAAATGAGTTGTGTCAAGTGTCGAGCACACCTTTTTCTCGTTTAAATCACAACAAATAATGTATATGTATATAACTATGTGTGTGTGAATATGGTTCTAATATATATGTCGTAGCTAGCAAGGATTACAATGATTAATACATCTTTTACAATATTTAAATTTTTAAAAGCAGCAATAAATGAGGTGTGTCAAGTCTCAAGCATGCTTTTCTTCTCCTTTAAATCATAATAAGTAATGTATATGAATATGAATCATAAAAAGCAATGCATATGAATATGAATATCTTGTGTGTGTGTGTGTGTGTGTGTGTGTGTGTTGTGTGTGTGTGTGTTTGAATAGAGTTCTAATAAATATGTTGAAACTAGCAAGGATTACAAAAATAATTAATACATTTTGTAGTACATTTAGACTTTTAAAAGCAACACTAAAAAGGTTCATTCAAACCATCTTTAATAACCATAAAAAGGAAATTTTGAGGGGGCCAACTTTAATTTTTCTATACAAAAATACCATTAGTAACCATAAATCAATACCATCAATAGAGTTTTGAAAAAAAAATTCCCTCCGACCCTCAGTCATCGTTAAGGAAAAACCTGCAGAAACGAGAATCAAAATAAAAATATAAATGCACAGTTCCATTCTCTCTAAGTCCATAAAAGTAGTTTATCAAGAAAGAAGAGCTGAAAATTATAAGTGCCAAATGCAATTTAATTGTTTTTTTAAATTTCTTTTCCAATGATTAGTGTTCAATGCTAAATGAAATGTTCTCGCTTAAAAGATTACTTCATTTTAAGTTCTAAACTACGATGAAGATGTTTGTTTCAGAGGCTGTTTTAGTTACAGTTCATGAAGATATTGGTGAACTCTTGCAGCATCATGGGGACACGGTGCTGCAATGGATGTAGAGTGTCTAACAGGGTAGCTCATGCTCTTTGGATAGAGAGTTTTGGGGGAGTGTCATATGCTGGTGGAGTGGGATGTGATTCCTAATTGGTTGTTAAATGTGGAGACTGATGAATGTAATGTTGCTTATGATTAATATAAAGTTTTATATTGCAAGGGGGAAAAATCACAGTATCAAGCTCACAAACAGCACCTTATTCAAGAAGCAAACATGCAGCACCAGAGTAGCAATACTAAATTATAGTACTACTGTATTGCAGGTCATGAACATTTATACATATATATAGAGTAGCAATACTAAATTATAGTAATACTGTATTGCAGGTCATGAACATTTATACATATATATATATATATATATATATATATATATATATTCTAGGAAAAAGCTATAATATGGGTCTTCTTTTGACAAGGGCAGTAAGCTCATTGTATTGAACCTTGATTTGTTTTTCGTTTCACAAATTTTGAGATACTTACCAAGGGAAAGCTCATGGCTCTTGCCAAGACTCAAGAGGGAGCCCTCTTGACAAGAATATGAATTAAAAAGATAGTTACGATTTCCCACTCCTATCCAAATTAGTAGTTCTAAATGCTTGGCTAGGAATCCAACAACATAACCCAAAAATATATTCTTGGAAACTCGTGGCTGAGGCATCGAAAGATGAGCAATATTATCAGCATAACATCTACAACCCATATCAACGCATAAATTCTCCATGCATCATGATTCAGTTAAATCTTCCCAAAGGAAGTTCTAAACTACATCAATATACAATTTATACACTCTAAACAGAGTCAACCTAACTAGAAGCAGGGATAGAGATTACATGCCATTTCTACTCTTTCGATAGTTCAACTCTCATCTTTTCCGTATTTTGGCTTTCCAGACCAGCCACGTCGTGACCTTGAAAGAAAAATCTACCATATCAGACATGAAAAGAAATCAAGATTTAGTATAATAAGAGTTGTTCCACTAGAGATGCTAAAAATTAAACAGTAATTGACCATAAAGGTTTTAAGTTTATGCTACCTAGCTACTAGAGAAATCTTGACAGAGACATTATTAAAATGCTAGGTTGAGCTTTGACATTCTAATGTTGCAATAACATAAGTCAGCAATAGATAAATATTAAGATATAAAGATTAATGAGATCATGAACCTTGCTTGGTGCTATAACCTCCTTTGCTTTTCGACTCTCTTTCTCGGATTTCTTATCAGCTTCACTGTCTTCCTCATGCAAAACAGGTGGTTTCACCCATGTAAAACTAGGCTCTCCATATAAGCATTTGCATTAAACGAGTCCTTATACCATGAATCTCTAGAGCCACAAATTTTGAGATTCCAAAGTCCTCGTTGGTCTTCAAAATCACAAGATGCCAAATATCCCTTACTTGTCAGTAGAACAACTACGCTTTGGTAAAATTTGCTCACATCAATATTGAAATGTTTAGTCCAAGTTGTCGCTATGCCATACTCTAGCATTACTCACTACATTATGATAATCAAATGTTTGATGAATATACAAAGCTCCAGCTTTCACTGTGCAAACAATTATTTTAGGATAATTGTAATGTGGTGAAATGGGGTTATATGCCACTCGGACGATCACTTTGGTATTACCAATGACTTGTATCCATGGAACCCATTGATTCAAAAGTTGATGGCCCTTCCACCGGTTCGTGTCACATTTCAGTCACATGGTCCATTTATGCATAACATTGGGTTTGGGATTGATCCATTGCCGAATGATTTTAAGGTCATACAGATTGTGCATCTAAATTATGTGGGCTGTAGTTGAGTTTTATCCGCTAAGTCTTCATGTAGCTAAGTTCCTAGAATAACTTTCTATAACCTAGATCCAGATGAATTATCATTGGAGTACTATTGGAAACTATTATTGTGTACGGGTGATGAAAGAGTATGGTGTAGCAATGTCTTGGACTAAACAATTCAATATTGATACCGGCAAATATTCCTTATTTTAGCCGCATCTTGGACGAGCATCCCATTCTTTTCTTTGACATGGACGTACTGCTCAAAGAAAAGAGATTAATGAACAAACAGAAACCTATTTTCTCATAACAAATAAGGAATTACCACTGTTTTAGAAAGAAAACCTCAGATCTGCAGGCTTTAGTGAATGACCACTAGAAAACCCCAGAGAAAAAAATAAAAAAATAAAATAAAAACAAACAAACAAACAAACAAATATTAAACACCCCGCTATAGTTATCAATTATAAAATTTACAAAACCCTTTTTCATAATACATTTATTATATCAATGATTAATGAAACAAACAGAATCCTATTTTCTCATAATAAATAAAAAATTACCACTGTTTTAGAAAGAAAACAGTGGATCTGCAGGCTTTAGTGGATGACCAATAGAAAAAAAAATGGAGAGAATATATAAACACTAGCTATAGTTATCAATTATAAAATTTACCAAAACCCTTTTGCATAATACATCGTATCAATGAATAAACAAAACTACAATAGCATCGAATCAATGAAATCAAAAAATTAAATGATATACATCAATTTAAATCGATATAAATCAGTGGCATGCAAGAGAGAAAGATTGGATCACGAAGATATATGTATATATATAGAGAGAGATAGAGGTAGAGAGGTGTAACTCACCGGTAAAAATGAAAATGGCGAATATTGTTGATGACGGACTGCCGGCGGTGAGGTCATCGTTTGATTTGGGGTCTATACTTCTCTCATCGCACTCACCGACATGTGCAGAAACGATTGACGCCGACTCAAACTATCACCGTTCGATGATGCTTTATAAATGAAAACCAATTCACTTTTCGACCAGGACAATAATTGCCTAGTCACGGCTGACTAATATAGTCACAGCTGAGCAATAATTGCCTGTTGTGGAGGATGTTTATACAGTATTTACCATATGTAGCCGAACAATAATTGCCTGCTGAAAAGAAAGTTAGTATTTACCATCTTTGTAGCCAAGTAATAATTGCGTAGTGGATAGGAAGTTAATATTTTCCATCTTTGTAGCCAGGTAATAATTGCGTGGTGAATCGGAAGTTAATGTATTTACCATCTTTGTAGCCAAGTAATAATTGCGTGGTGGATAGGAAGTTAATATTTACCATCTTTGTAGCCAAGTAATAATTGCCTGGTGAATAGGAAGTTAATATTGTCTTGTAATATATTTTCTCTGAGTCTTATATTAGATCTGAGACCATTTTAATTTTTTTTTTATTGAGTTAAATAATAGAGAAGATAATAAATTTATAATTTATTATATTGTTAAGAAAAAAATAATAATACTTTTTATTATTTTTACAATTATATTTAATAATATTTATAATATTATAATTTATAGAGAATAATACTGTAATTTAAAATTTATAAAATTTAGAATAATATTTAATTTAAAATTTTTATAATAATTTACTTGTCTTTTCTCCTCTCTTTTCTTCGACTATTTTTCATTTTAAAACAACTGAAAATTTATAAAGAAATGATGGGACATTCTTTTTATTCTCTTATATTATATCTACTGAATAAAGAAGGTTAGTTCATTCCATCTTTTTTTTTTTTCATACCTATTTTTTTCCTTCTTAGAAGAATAAAATTTTTAAGGTACATATAATTATTGTATTTTTTTCTTTAAAAAATACTATTAAATTACTCTAAGTTTGAGGTTGGTGCTATTCACGCTGCAAAAAGCATCTCTAGGCTCTCGCGCTTTAAAAATTACTACTAAATTACTCTTGAGGTTGGTAACTTGGTGCTCTTCGCGCTGCAAAAAGCTTCTCTAGGCTCTCACGCTTTAAAAATTCATACTACTAAATTACTTTGAAGTTGGTGCTATTCACGCTGCAAAAAGCATCTCTAGGCTCTCGCGCTCCAATTGTTTTCATATAATAAAATAAAAATTCCACTCTCCAATAATCATTTGTAAAATAATTTTTACTTTTTAGTGTTTGTCTATGTTCTTCAACCTCATCTCTATTGTTCTTTAATCATATGAGACCACTTCAACCATGTGAGTCCCAAATGGAATAGAAGATCTCTTGGTTACGCCATGAAAATTGATAACATTCCTAAACTGCGTAAGCAAAGGTAACTCTTTCATGATTTTTTGAAATATACAAATTCATTTGAAAATTCTTAAAAAGCTGTGGGCTATACATATGGACTAAGAAGATTTTTTATTTTTTTTTATTTTTATTTTTTTCACAATAAAATCTATTTTCTTTTTTCATTGCTCTCAATTGTTGAGAACAAAACAGTCGTTTCAAACTTTTGGGTTTCATGAATTTTTTTTTTTTTTTTTTTTTTTTTTTTTTTTGAATTATTTCATTGGTTTAGAAAAGAACAAAACAGTTGTTTGCCCGTGGGTAGGGATGGCTCATTGACATGCGTTATTCACGTGCTTCCTCTAACAGATGTTCAAGCGTGCGTTATTCACATGCTTCCTCTAACAACCCCCGCACACATATCCATGTGCTTCCTCGTATTGTGTGCCTTGAGTTTAGTTTTTTTTTTCCCCTTCAATTCATGTGATTTTGGACGCTAACGGAGACTTTGTTCCTTCATTTGGTTGCTAAACAATGGGCTACTAAGGGCCGTTTGGAAAGTGTAGGGTGATGTAATGTATTACTCTAATTTATAATAGAATAAGTGTTTTGTAATGTGATGTTTTGAAATGAGAATAAAATATATTTAGTGTTCTGAATTTGTTCTGAGAATTTTAAAACAAAAACATGATAGAACATGTTTGGTAATGTATATTGTTTTAAGAAATATGAGAACAAAACATGTTTGAAATACTGAAAGTGTGATCAAAATCAGTAGAAAGATAAAAAAAAATTAAATATATTGGATTAAGAATGTTTTAAAATAATGTTTTCTTGAATACATTTTTTCTAACTTTATTAAGTATAAAGTTAAAATTAATTATTGTATAATTTTAATATACAAATGATATAACTTTATATATATATATATATATATATATATATATATATATATATATATATATATATATATATTGTTAAAAATTTATCTTAGTTTATTATAAAAACTAATAAAATAAATTATAAATTGTAAAACTTATTAATGCTGCATAATAAACTTATTAATGTTGTATAACTTTTCTTGACAGTTTAAATTATAAATTGTAAAACTTATTAATTATAATCTGTAGTAAAAATCTTTTTAAAATATGTAAAAATAAAATAAATCATGTACTTAATTATCTTACTCATCCTATTCTTCTTGAAGATTTCCAAAAAAAATAAAGATAAACCAATATGTAAAATTAAAAAGTTTTTCTTGCTTTTCTCATTGTTATCCATATTCTCTACCAATTTACCAAACAGAAGTTAAAAACCATTTCCTTTCTTCACTACTTTTTTTTTTTTTTTTTTTAATTCCCTCTATATTTCTACAAACAAACATAATAATAAAATGAATACATAAACAAACTTATATACCACTGTTAAAATATTTCAACTAATTTGGCTACCTTTTAATTTATTCTGGTAATGGGTATTGAAAATCAACTTTGTTCCAACTTTAAGATATATATATAATATACATAGATATAGATACATATCCAAAAGGTGTTTCAGAAAAATATCCAATAAATAAATAAATTTCCAGATCACTACAATACAGTTACGACTCACTACAATACAGATATATATAGATCACTACAAGAATCAAAGCTCAATATCCAGAGGGTTCGCCTGTGAATCCGAGAGTGCAGACAGCAGCGGCGAAGCTTGGGTTCGCCGGAAAAAGCAGAGCAGAGGTGTGACAGAGGGTTCCTCTCTTCAGATCTGCATACACAGCTCAGTGTTTTAAAGCCCGATCTTCAAACAACAATAGCAATTTTATACACAGCACAACGAAATCTGATGAAGAAGAAGCAGAGGAACTCACTGGTGAGAAGTGATTGACTATCGGAAAGCTTCAACCCCAGTACACTGTGAATCGCCTCTTTGAATCGTCGAGAGAACCCTAGAAATGTTCCACCGAATATATTTATATGTGTTCTCATAATGCTCCAACTTTAGGCTGTTGTTCCAAGCTCTACAGTGAATAGTGGGCAGTTAATATTTTGGGTACACTTTGGAACACCAATTTTTTGTTCCGGAAATTGGCCCATTCTATGAAATTGTTCTTGCACTGTTGGACACAATACAGCCTATCTCCAAACAAGTTGGTGTCCTTAATAGTGTCCATTTGCACTGTAGGGAATAGCCCATCACAACATAGAGCATCCCCCAAACAGGCCCTAAGTCCTTTGGATTTAATCTTCTTTTTCCTGAAGAACTACTCAATACTGTAACAGTATCGTTCTAGCTTTTTGGTAAAGAGGATAAGAGAAGCAATGCCTTAACCTCATCATCAAACTCGATCTTTACATAGCTTAACTGAGTCGTAACAATATTAAACTCGTTCAGATGGTCAGTCACTGAAGAGCCTTTTGACATTTTTAAGTTGAATAATCTCCGTATCAAATATACCTTGTTAGATGCAGTGGGTTTCTCATACATATTTGAAAGCGCAGTCATCAAACTTGCTGTTGTCATTTCCTTTGCTATGTTGAAGGCAACGTTGTGTAACAGTGTCAATCGAATGACCCTTAGTGCCTGCTGATCAAGAAAGGCCAATCATTATCCTTTATCTCTTCTGGTTTCTCCCCGGAAAGAGGCTGATACAACTTCTTCTGATACAGATATTGATAATCATCAATCTGCATATTCCAGAACCTGAAATCTTCACCATTGAACTTGTCGATCTTGATCTTTCCTTATTCTATACCCATCGCTCCCACTCAAACCTAATGACTCTAATACCAGTTATTGCGAAATCAAACAGAAAACACAAGAAATAGATTAAACACACACACAACAAGAACACACATATTTTACTCGGTTCACCCAAAATTCAGGGTTACATCCAAGGGTTGCAGGGTTTTCACTATAATGATCAAAAATAGTAGCAGATACAAAGAGTTTAGCATAAATAAATACCATCGCGCTAGGGCAACATAACAAGTGCGGAAATTACTAAAATACTCTTCAAAAAATTAAGGTCGGGGCCAAGCCCCCAAACCCCTACCTTCTGCTAGGGGGGCTTTGCCCTTTTGCAACCCCCCGCCAACTTACAACGAAGTTCGATCCGCGGAGTTGGGACTTAGTGTACAATATTTATCAGGCTCCATACTACCTATCATTTTTTTTTTCGTTTTTTCATGTGATTTTGGTTTCATCCCTTGATCTTTTTATTGAATTTTTGAAGGAGATAATATGATTTCCTTAGATATGGCCTAAAACTTTTCTTTTTTTAGATCTCAAATGCAGACCCATAATAAGATTAAGATTTTGTTTTCAAATATTTTCACAACATATTTAAATTCATAGAACATATAAGAAGGCCTCCGTGAAAAGAGAATGACTTGAAGACCTTAAGCCAATAGGAGGATTTTGATTTCTGATGATGTTCGGGACTTAATCCTCAGTGAAGATATTCGTAGAAGGGAAACGGGGGAATCATCTAGATCTATTTTCAATACCGAGGGCAGAGGAAAAACTTCTGAAAGATTAGACTTGGATCGCAGTAAATCCAAATCCAAATCCAAACACAAAAGCAAATCGAAAACTAGAACCTGCTGGAACTGTGGAAAGAAGGGGCATTTAAGGTTTAAGTGTTGAGCACCAAAGAAGAAAGCGAAGGAAAATAGGATTCTGTAAATGCCATCAAAGAAAAGATTGTTGATGCTCTAATTCTGAGTGTAGATAATTCGATTGAGTCTTGGGTT